TAAGGACAGGGAGATCAGTCACCAATCACCATTGTGGGCAAAACAGCCTCCACCCAGGGAAATTCATTTCATTCCTTAAAAATCAAAGCATAGAGTAAGATAATGAGACAGAAACGCAGATCTTAAAATACCTTCCCTTCACCCCTCCCTTCAGTCAGGCTCAACTTCACTCCCCAGTTCTCTGCCCCCTCTCCCCAAGTGGCTCAGGGCAATGGACAAGGTGGCTTGGGGTCAGTTCATCCCACCTTGGTTTTGCTGTTCCTTCCTCCTCACACTCTGCCCCTGCTCCAGCGTGGGCTCCATCCCACACACTCAGTCTCCAACGGGGCCTTCCCATGGGCTGCATTTCCATACAAACGGCTCCAGCCTGGCTCCCTCCCATGGGATCAGGCCTTCAGGAACACGCTGCTCCAACGTGGCTCTGGAGGGGCTCCCAAGTTCTGACAACAAACCTCCTCCATGGCGGGCTCCTCTCTCCAGGGGGCCACAGGTCCTGCCAGGAGCCTGCTCCAGCTCGCCCTCCCCACGGCCTCACAGCCTCTTTGGGCACTCCCTGGCTCTGCTGGCAGCTCCTCCTGGGGCTGCAGCTGCATCTCTGCTCCACCCTGCACTTCCAGGGGCTGCGGGGGGACAGCCTCACCCACCATGCTCTGCTCCACGGGCTGCACAGCACATTCTGCTACAGCCCCTGGGCCACCTCCTCCCCTCCCTCGGCACTGCCCTTCATCACCCCAATATTGTTCCTCTCCCATGTTTTCTCTCTTCCAGCTCCTCTGGAGCACTAATTGTGCCCCTTCCAGAACAGGCTGTGATCTCAGAATGGCTGCATCAACAAGGATTGCCTCTGCTTTGTCCAGCGGCTGATCCAACATGGAGCCAGTGGGAACTTGCTGTGTCAGACACCAGGGAAGCTTCTGGAACCTTCTCCCAGAAGCCACACCTGCAGAACTCTTGAGACCAAAACCTTGTCAGCTGAACCTGAGACACTCAGATCCAACCTTAGCAGCAGTAGAGGCAACCAGGCCCCCAGAGAGCACACCCAGTGGGCAAGGCTGAGCCTAAAACCAGGCTGGGTGAGCTGGGAGAAAGCTGGAGAGGAATCCAACAAAATGGAAGGAGAAGCCCCTCAGGCCCGGCACAAACTCTTCTTTGGACGCTCGTCTTCAACCAGAGCACAAGCCCTGTGACCCCAAAGGGTCAACTTGCTGACAGCAGAGCACAGCCAGTGACAAAGGCCAGGCTCAAAGACAGGCTCAGTGAGCTGGCAGTGAGGCTGGAAGGAAGGAATGGGATTGAAGGGGCAGCCCCTCACACCCGGCACGGCTGCACAGCCCAGACCAGCCCGACAGGGTTGAGAGGGAATGGGGCCCCTCTAAACAACTCACCCACAAACCACAGCCCCCGAGGGACACGGGGTGACCTCACTGATGACACCCCACCTCTCCAGTGCTTTGCTCACATCAGACAAATGCCCTGACCCCCATATTTCATGTAAATCCTCCCAACAACCAACTCAGCAAAGCTGCCCCCAAGGTCAGATGGACGCGGCCTCGAGAGCAGGACATGGAAGCACAGAATTCCACAAAGGAACATCAGTAAAATGTCAGAAGAGGAGAGAGGAGTGCAGTGACCATCCACTAGTAATTATAGTTTTTGCTCACGGGCACAGGATGTTACAATTTAGGAGTTATACATTGTGAAATCTCATGGCTTGAATGCAGAATAAGGGAATTGGCATAAAAAGACCAGCCAGGGCAAAAAGGGATCGAGCCCCGTTGGGTGTTTGCTTAATGCATCTCTTCAGGAGGTCAAGAAATAAAGTTTAAATAGCCAAGTATGTCGTGATGAAAATTGCAGAAATCCAAATGGACCACAGGAATGGAACCGGACCAGCCTGAATTCAGCCTGAACAGCCTCAAGGTTTCCAGGTCCTCTCTCTTGATTTCAATCACGATTCCAGGGGATGAGCTGTTTTTCATCCCTCCAGAAGTGCTCCAAAGAACCATGATCTTTCCAAGTTGATGAAGAGTGACCTCCCCAGGACATCAAATGGCTCCCTGCACATTCCTGGGTGCGACACAATGACTGATGGACATCCAGTCACACAGAACAAGAGGAGGCCCAGTCAGCACAAAGCACCCACAAACCACAGCACAAGAAAACTACAAAATCACCTCACTGATGACATCAAACATCTCCTGGGCTCTCATTCTTTATTCAGCCCTCCCTGACACACATCCAACAATCCAACCCTCCCAAATCCCAACTCCTCAAAGCTGCCGCCAGCTGACAGGGCTGGGCCAAGGCTGTGCCGCCCCTGCGGGAGCAGCATAAAAGCCGGCCCAGCGCCTCTCTCCCTGCCACGCTTCTCCTCAAGCCTTCTCCTGCCTTCTCTGCCCACAACCAGGTGAGCCTCCAGCCCCTCACAACCCCCTCCTGCTCCTGACACACCGCCCCCCTGGCCCCTCTCGGCCAGCACGCTCGGACCCAGCCTCAGCAGCCCTCACGCCTCCCCACAGCCCCACACCAGCCTCCCCACTGACCAGCCCTCCTGCAACACCGCCCCGAGCACCCCCACCGCCCCCACCTGCCGAGCACCCCTCTCTGCTCTCACCTTCTCTCCCCTTCTCTTGCCTGCCCTCCCAGGGCCCCTCCACACCACACCCATGGCCTGCTACGACCTCTGCCGCCCCTGCGGCCCCACCCCGCTGGCCAACAGCTGCAACGAGCCCTGTGTCAGGCAGTGCCAGGACTCCACCGTCCTCATCCAGCCCTCCCCCGTCCGCGTCACCTTCCCAGGGCCCATCATGACCTCCTTCCCCCAGAGCTCCTTCGTTGGATCCACCGCAGGGGCTGCCCTGGGCACGGAGCTCAACGTCCAGGGACAGCCCATCTCCGGCGGCTTTGGGGCCGGAGGCTACGGCCTGGGCTATGGCCGTGGCTTTGGCTACGGCCTGGCAGGCCTGGGCTGCTCTGGCCTGGCAGGCCTGGGCTGCTCTGGCACCTGCTGAGGGTCCTTGACACCACAGCTGACACCCCCTGCTCCTGCCCTTCTCACTCTTGCACCAATATCTCCTGCAAGCAAAGCACCTCGGCTGATGGTCGCCCTACTTGCACCTCACACCTCGTCCATCCCACTCCCTGCTCCTGTCTCTTCACTCCTTTGACTCAATAAAATTCTCCTGCATCAAAGTCTCTCAGGCCTCCTCTTTTTTCAGTCCAGTGGTTTTACATCCTTATTCAGCACAAGGCCAGGGCTCTACAGCCAGTGAGAATCTGGAAAAAGGCCACAACACCTTTCTTAGCAAATCTGTCACCAGCACCAACACAGACGGGCAACGGAACAGGGGTGGAGGGGCCCTGCCACAACATGGCACAAACCCATCACCAGCCACACCAAAGGCTTCCACACAACAAGGCTCTCCTGCACACTCCTCTGCCAAAGTCTCTCTACTCCAGCACACACTGCACAAACTCTCTTCCCCACCACGACTCTTCAACCTGCCCAGCACAGACACAACATCAGCCACTGGGTCAGGATGCAGTGCAAGTGCTTCAACCCTCCTGCTCAAACCAACCCCGCAAGAGCAGCTTGGCCAGGACCATGGCCAGTTCAGCGTTACAGCTCCAGGCACACAGACTCCACCTCCTCTGCCACTCTCTCACCTCCCTCACACACAACAAGGCTTGTCTTCTTTCTCCATGCAATTCCATCGGTTTCCCTTGTGTCCAGGGCCCCTTGTCCTGCCCGTGTGTTCTGCTGACAACACCTGGGCTCCCTCCACTTCAGTCCCTGCCAGCAGGGATTCACACACACTCAGGACACTCCCCTGGCCAGCCCTGTCTCCTCCTGCCAGTCCCAGCTCTCTCAGCCTCTCCTCTATCCAACATCCTCCGGCCTCTTTAGAATCTTGATGCTCCTCAACTGCTCTGCATTCCCCAAGTCCATCAGCTTCTTCCACTGGGGAGCCCAGCACTGCCCACAGACCTCACATGGCACATCACCAGTGCTGAGGAGGCAGCAAGAGTCACCTCCCACTGCTTGATCACACCTTGCCCAATCCTCACCTGCAGACTTCTTTTCCCACACTGGTTCATGGCCACCTCTTGGGCCATTTGTTCTCCACCAGGAACACAAAATCTGGTCCCAGTAACAGATTAATTCTATGAAAACAGTTGATCCAGTTGATCTCCAGCCTTTCCTCCTACCTGGGCTGACCCCTCCCCACAAACAGGACTTGGCCCCTGCCCTTGCTCAACTCCAGGACGTGGCCATGGCCATCACCACTCATCTTTGCAGTCTTGGCCCAATGGATGCAGCTGCTGGGCTACAGCACTGCACACTTGTTCCCATCTGCACTTTGGCACACTCAGCCCAAGGCTCTGGGCCCAGCCCTGCACACACTTCTCACCCCACCACACTGGGCACTGACACAGCCCGGCCTTGTTTGCACTCTCTGGCATCACGCAGTGCTTGTGTCCCACAACCCTGGACACCTCCAAATCCTCTTGCTGCCCCTCAGACAGAAAAGATGCCCAGAGCAGGGACCTCGCTCCCTGCCACTCAGCCCAGGACAGGGCCCAAAAGGCCCCAGCTATCAAAACCTTCAAAGCAGGAGGGGCACCAAAACCCCCAGAGAGCACAGGCAGCAGGAAAAGTCAGGTCCAGTGTCAGGCTTAGCCAGGTGGAAGCAAAGGGGAGAGGAATGGAAGGTGAGGGAAGGGGCAACACGTGTGAAACTCCAGAGCAGCCTGACAGGGCTGGGATGCTTTGGGGCCCCTCCTCACAACACACCCCCAAACCACAGCACACCAGGGACACGGAGGCACCTCACTCATCACACCCCACCTCTCCAAAGCTTTGCTCACATCTTCAGCCCTCCCTGACACGGCACCATCAACTCCAGACTTTGCCCTCTAATACTCACAGTTCAAAGCTGCTGCCAAGGTCAGATGGACACGGCCTCAAAAACAGAGCATGGAATCCAGGAATTCCACAAAGGAATGCCTTTCTTTGGACAGCAGAGGAGAGAGAAGCATGCCAACTTTCCTCTAGTAAATAGAGTTATTTGCTGACAGGTCCAGGATGTTACCACCTACTAGTTTTCTTACAACTTATAACTTAGGAAACCGCATGGCTTGAATGCAGAAGGAGGGAATTGATGCCACAGACCAGGCTGGGCAAAAAGGGATTGAGCCTTATTGGGTGTTTGTTTATTGGATTTCTTCAGGAGGTCAAGAAATACACTTTACATGACAGCACACATTGTCCTGTAAACTTGAGAAATCCAAAAGGACCATACCAATGGGAAAAGTTCAGCCTGAGCAGCCTCTCGTTTTCCAGATCCTCTCCCTTGATCGCATTCAATATATGAGGGCAGGAGCTCTCCTTCATCCATCAGGAAGGGCTCCCAGGCACTGTGACCTTTCCAAGGCATTGGAGACTGTCCTCCCCAGGACATCAAATGGCTCCCTCAGCATTCCTGAGTCCTGCAACACAAGGACTGAGGGACATCCAATAGTACATAAGAAGAGGATCCACAATTCTCAACACATCCAGAAACCACAGTACATGAAGGCCATAAAATCACCTCACTAATGACATCACACCTCTCCTCTGATCTTGTTTCTTCAGCCCTCCCTGACACTCATCCAAAAAAAGAACCCTCCCCAAAACCAACTCCTCAAAGCTGCCGCCAAGGTCAGATGGACGCGGCCTCAAGGGCAGGACATGGAATCCCAGAATTCCACAAAGGAACATCTGCAAAATGACAGAAGAGGAGAGCAGAGCCCACTGACCATCCACTCGTAATTATAGTTTTTGCTCACAGGTACAGGATGTTACAACTGACGGGTTATACGTTATGAAACCTCCTGGCTTGAATGTGGAAAAAGGGAATGGAAATCCCAGACCAGCCTGGGCAAAAAGGGATCAAACCCCGTTGGGTGTTTGTTTATTGCATTTCTTCAGGAGGTCAAAAAATAAAGTTTAAATGACCAACTACCTTGTCATGAAAATTTAAGAAACCCAAATGGACCATAGGAATGGAACCAGACCAGTCTGAATTCAGCCTGAACAGCCTCTGGTTTTCCAGGTCCTCTCTCTTGATCACAATCACAATTCCAGGGGAAGAGTTCCCTTTTCATCCCTCAAGAATTGCTCCAAAGGACTATGACATTTCCAAGTTGATAGAGAGAGGCCTCCCCAGGACATCAAATGGCTCCCTCAGCATTCCTGGGTACAACACAATGACTGATGGACATCCAGTCACACAGAACAAGAGGGGGCCCAGTCAGCACAAAGCACCCACAAACCACAGCACACGAGAACCACAAAATCACCTCAATGAAGACATCAAACCTCTCCTGGGCTTTAATTCTTTCTTCAGTCCTCCCTGACACACATCCAACAGGCCACTCCTCCTAAATCCCAACCCCTCAAAGCTGCCGCCAGCTGACAGGGCTGGGCCAAGGCTGTGCCGCCCCTGCGGGAGCAGCATAAAAGCCGGCCCAGCGCCTCTCTCCCTGCCACGCTTCTCCTCAAGCCTTCTCCTGCCTTCTCTGCCCGCAACCAGGTGAGCCTCCAGCCCCTCACAACCCCCTCCTGCTCCTGACACACCGCCCCCCTGGCCCCTCTCGGCCAGCACGCTCGGACCCAGCCTCAGCAGCCCTCACGCCTCCCCACAGCCCCACACCAGCCTCCCCACTCACCAGCCCTCCTGCAACACTGCCCCGAGCACCCCCACCACCCCCACCTGCCGAGCACCCCTCTCTGCTCTCACCTTCTCTCCCCTTCTCTTGCCTGCCCTCCCAGGGCCCCTCCACACCACACCCATGGCCTGCTACGACCTCTGCCGCCCCTGCGGACCCACCCCGCTGGCCAACAGCTGCCACGAGCCCTGTGTCAGGCAGTGCCAGGACTCCACCGTCCTCATCCAGCCCTCCCCCGTCCGCGTCACCTTCATAGGGCCCATCATGACCTCCTTCCCCCAGAGTACCTTCGTTGGATCCACCGCAGGGGCTGCCCTGGGCACGGAGCTCAACGTCCAGGGACAGCCCATCTCCGGCGGCTTTGGGGTCGGAGGCTACGGCCTGGGCTATGGCCGTGGCTTTGGCTACGGCCTGGGAGGCCTGGGCTGCTACGCCAACAGGGGCTGCTACGGCACCTGCTGAGGCCCCAAACAACTGCCCCAACAACAACCACCCAGGACCTGGGAGTCACCAAATGGAACAGGGATTCATCTCCGTGCCCAGGCTCTCCAATGGGCTCAGCACTTCCAGCTCCTGCTCTCAGGGCTCCAACCAAGGAAGCAGCCAAGGGGCCAGCCTGCGCTGTCTGCAAACATGGCCTTGATCGTGGGGCTCTGGCAAAATCTGCTACAACAAAAATACCTCGGCTGACGGTTGCCCTATTGCACCTCACACCAGACCCCTTCCACTGTTTCCTCTTCCCTTTTCACTCTTTTGTCTCAATAAAGTTCTCCTGCAGCAGAACATGACAGGCCTCCTCATCCTTTCTTTTTCAAAGCCTCCTAGAACTTCATTTGCCACAGAGCTCAGGCAACAGATGCCATCAGATGGGTGGAAGAGGGACCAGCTCTCTCCTAAAAAATATTTCACAGGGATCAACAGAGACTGGTACTGAAGGGCCTTCCACAATGGGACACAAACTCTTCCCTTGCCCAAACACAGTCTTGGACACACCACCCATAACTCAAACTCCCAGCCTGGGCTGGCTTCAGTCTCCATGGACACTGGGAGCTCCAGCCCTTCATCATCCCCAAGGCTCTACTCTGCATCCCACCAACAGCTCCCTGCTTTCCTTCTCCTCAGGCTCCCAGAGCTCAGCACACAACTCCAATCTCCCCAGAAAGGAGCAGAGGGGCACAATCCCCTCCCTCTCCCTGCTGCCCACACTGGGGCCAGGAGCCCAGCACACGGGGGCTTTCTGGGCTGCCCGGACACCTTCCTGGCTCCCAGTCAGTTCTTCACCCACCAATACCCTCCAAGCCTTCTCCACAGGGCTGCTCTCAAACCAGCCACCACCAGCCTGGAGCCCTGTTAGGGACAGACACAACCCACAAGCTCTTGGCTCTCTTGAATACCATGAGCATCACACAGGTCCTCCTCCCCAGCCTGTCCAGGCCCCTCTGGCTGCCATCCCTTCCCTCTCGACAACCAACCACAACACTCAGCTTGGTGTCATCCACAGTCTTGCAGAGCTCGCACTTAATCCATGATCCTGATGGAAATGGGGGAGGTCAAACATCAGCTCAGCCATAAAAGCAGCTGGAGCAGATTCACCAGCAGCTGCTCTGCTCAGGCTCTGAGGCTTCTCCATATGATTCAGGAACACCCACAGCAAGACAGACGAGGAAAGAGAAGCACATTGACCCTCCTCTGGTAGTTATAGGTTTTTCCTCACAAGAAAAAGATATTAAGAATTAGGGCTTATAATTATGAACCCTTATGGCCTGAATGGTGAACCAGTGAACTGATGTCACAGACCAGCCTGGGCAAAAAGGGACCAAACCCACTCTGTTGTTTATTTATTGCTTTTCTTAATGAGGTCACGAAATACAGTTTCAATGGGAGAGTATCATGTCCTGGAAATGGGAGAGATGCCAAGGGACCGTAACCCTGGCAATGAGGGCAGCCTGACCACATGCCAGTTAGCCAGGGAGTCACTGCTGCTCTTCCTCCACAAACCAAGCCAGGAGCTCTCTTTCAGCCCTCAGGAAGCGCACCAGGCACTGGCACCATGAGCAGCTGATGGCAAGAGGAGCAGAGTGGCCTCCCCAGCACATCAGGCAGCTCCCTCAGCATTCCTGGCTGCAGCACCTCAGGCCCGGAGGGCACAGGTGCACCCAGTGACACAGCAAACCTTCCTGCAGGGCTTCCCCTTGCCCAGCAACACTCACTGCTCGCCTGACAAACCCCCTGCAAACTCTGCCCTGGGCTCCAGGGGGGCAGCTCTGCCTGGCAGCCTTTGGGGCCTCATCTTCACCAGGTCCCCACAAACCACAGCACACCAGGGACACGGGGGGACCTCACTGATGACACCACCAATTTCCTTGGTCTTTTTGTTCCTTCAGTCCTCCCTGACACACTTCCAACCATCCAACCCTCCCAAATTCCAACTCATCAAAGCTGCCACCAAGGTCAGACAGACACAGCCTCAAGGGTAGGACATGGGATGAAAGAACTCCACAAACCCACAGCACGGGAGTGACATCAGGTGACCTCACAGAGGACACCCCACCTCTCCTGGGCACTGTCTGCACCTGCCAAGTGCCCCCACAAGCACATTCCAGGCACAACCTCCCAAATGCCAACTCTCCCTTCAAAGCTGCCGCCACAAGGACACGTCTGCAAGAGGAGCACACGGAAAGGGAGCGCTGTGGAAAGGAAAACACACCCCACCTCACCCACTCAGCCCACAGCACACGAGGGCCATAAAATCACCTCACTGATGACATCACACCTCTCCTTGGCTCTGGTTGTTTCTTCAGCCCTCCCTGACTCACATCCAGCAGTCCAACCCTCCCAAAAACCAACTCCTCAAAGCTGCCGCCACGGTCAGATGGACGCGGCCTCAAGGGCAGGACATGGAATCCCAGAATTCCACAAAGGAACATCTGCAAAATGACAGAAGAGGAGAGCAGAGCCCACTGACCATCCACTCGTAATTATAGTTTTTGCTCACAGGTACAGGATGTTACAACTGACGGGTTATACGTTATGAAACCTCCTGGCTTGAATGTGGAAGAAGGGAATGGAAATGCCAGACCAGCCTGGGCAAAAAGGGATCGAGCCCAATTTGGTGTTTATTTATTATATTTCCTCAGAAGGTCAAGAAATAAAGTTTAAATGACCAAGTACCTTGTCATGAAAATTTCAGAAGTCCATATGGACCATAGGAATGGAACCGGACCAGCCTGAAATCAGCCTGAACAGCCTCAAGTTTTCCAGGTCCTCTCTCTTGATCTCAATGATGATTCCAGGGGATGAGCTCTCTTTCATCCCTCAAGAATTGCTCCAAAGGACTATGACCTTTCCCAGCTGATAGAGAGTGGCCTCCGCAGGACATCAAATGGCTCCCTCAGCATTCCTGGGAGCAACACAATGACTGATGGACATCCAGTCACACAGAACAAGAGGATCAACAATCCACAACCCATCCAGAAACCACAGCACACGAGGGCCAAAAAGTCACCTCACTGATGACATCACACCTCTCCTGGGCTCAGGTTGTTTATTCAGCCCTCCCTGACACACATCCAACAATCCAACCCTCCCAAATCCCAACTCCTCAAAGCTGCCGCCAGCTGACAGGGCTGGGCCAAGGCTGTGCCGCCCCTGCGGGAGCAGCATAAAAGCCGGCCCAGCGCCTCTCTCCCTGCCACGCTTCTCCTCAAGCCTTCTCCTGCCTTCTCTGCCCACAACCAGGTGAGCCTCCAGCCCCTCACAACCCCCTCCTGCTCCTGACACACCGCCCCCCTGGCCCCTCTCGGCCAGCACGCTCGGACCCAGCCTCAGCAGCCCTCACACCTCCCCACAGCCCCACACCAGCCTCCCCACTCACCAGCCCTCCTGCAACACCGCCCCGAGCACCCCCACCGCCCCCACCTGCCGAGCACCCCTCTCTGCTCTCACCTTCTCTCCCCTTCTCTTGCCTGCCCTCCCAGGGCCCCTCCACACCACACCCCTGGCCTGCTACGACCTCTGCCGCCCCTGCGGACCCACCCCGCTGGCCAACAGCTGCAACGAGCCCTGTGTCAGGCAGTGCCAGGACTCCACCGTCCTCATCCAGCCCTCCCCCGTCCGCGTCACCTTCCCAGGGCCCATCATGACCTCCTTCCCCCAGAGTACCTTCGTTGGATCCACCGCAGGGGCTGCCCTGGGCACGGAGCTCAACGTCCAGGGACAGCCCATCTCCGGCAGCTTTGGGGCCGGAGGCTACGGCCTGGGCTATGGCCGTGGCTTTGGCTACGGCCTGGGAGGCCTGGGCTGCTCTGGTCTGGGAGGCCTGGGCTGCTCCGGCACCTGCTGAGGGTCCTTGACACCACAGCTGACACCCCCTGCACCTGCCCTTCTCACTCTTGCACCAATATCTCCTGCAAGCAAAGCACCTCGGCTGATGGTCGCCCTACTTGCACCTCACACCTCGCCCATCCCACTCCCTGCTCCTGTCTCTTCACTCCTTTGACTCAATAAAATTCTCCTGCATCAAAGTCTCTCAGGCCTCCTCTTTTTTCATTCCGGTGGTTTTACATCCTCACTCGGCACAAGGCCAGGGCTCTACAGCCAGTGAGAATCTGGGAAAAGGCCACAACACCTTTCTTAGCAAATCTGTCACCAGCACGAACACAGACGGGCAACGGAACAGGGGTGGAGGGGCCCTGCCACAACACGGCACAAACCCATCACCTGCCACACCAAAGGCTTCCACACAACAAGGCTCTCCTGCACACACCTCTGCCAAAGTCTCTCTGCGCCAGCACACACTGCACAAACTCTCTTCCCCACCACGACTCTTCAACCTGCCTAGCACAGACACAACATCAGCCACTGGGCCAGGATGCAGTGCAAGTGCTTCAACCCTCCTGCTCAAATCAACCCCGCAAGAGCAGCTTGGCCAGGACCATGGCCAGTTCAGCGTTACAGCTCCAGGCACACAGACTCCACCTCCTCTGCCACTCTCTCACCTCCCTCACACACAACAAGCCTTGTCTTCTTATCCATGCAATTCCATCGGTTTCCCTTGTGTCCAGGGCCCCTTGTCCTGCCCGTGTGTTCTGCTGACAAGAGCTGGGCTCCCGCCACTTCAGTCCCTGCCAGCAGGGATTCACACACACTCAGGACACTCCCCTGGCCAGCCCTGTCTCCTCCTGCCAGTCCCAGTTCTCTCAGCCTCTCCTCTATCCAACATCCTCCGGTCTCTTTAGAATCTTGATGCTCCTCAACTGCTCTGCATTCCCCAAGTCCATCAGCTTCTTCCACTGGAGAGCCCAGCACTGCCCACAGACCTCACATGGCACATCACCAGTGCTGAGGAGGCAGCAAGAGTCACCTCCCACTGCTTGCTCACAACTTGCTCAATCCTCACCTGCAGACTCCTTTTCCCACACTGGTTCATGGCCACCTCTTGGGCCATTTGTTCTCCACCAGGAACACAAAATCTGGTCCCAGTAACAGATTAATTCTATGAAAACAGTTGATCCAGTTGATCTCCAGCCTTTCCTCCTCCCTGGGCTGACCACTCCCCACAAACAGGACTTGGCCCCTGCCCTCGCTCAACTCCAGGACGTGGCCATGGCCATCACCACTCATCTTTGCAGTCTTGGCCCAATGGAGGCAGCTCCTGGGCTACAGCACTGCACACTTGTTCCCATCTGCACTTTGGCACACTCAGCCCAAGGCTCTGGGCCCAGCCCTGCACACACTTCTCACCCCACCACACTGGGCACTGACACAGCCCGGCCTTGTTTGCACTC